GCGACGGAGAACTTTAATCCCTGCTATAGTCTTTTGCTATAGTTTTGATGGCATCTAATAAATAGGGAGTGAAGCCGGGACCGGTGGATACCATGGTGGTAGTGAAGCCCGAACCAGGTGCTACTTCAGCAAGTGGAATCAGGTATGCAGTGAGTGTAACCATGCATGCCATACTATACTGTGTAGCAAAAAATGTTTATTGATTCCCTGATAATGTTATTCCAGATCTGCACTTTACAAGGCCTACAGTGGTGAGCTGCCAGATCCATCAACACTCGACCCTAAAGCTGCCTATGCTGACTTCAAACCAGGATCTCTTCCCCTTATCTGCACAATGAATATTTCACCTGACAAGCCACTCGTGGACTCTATTTTCGGTAAGGTACAAGCTGGCAGTATCCTATCATACCAGCATCCACCACCTACACCGGATGGTGTTATCACCCATAAGGATGCACCCCCATTCCCAAAAGTGCCACCAGAGGGCTACCAGTTAAAGCCAACAGACTGCTGCATCTCCACTCACTATCTGTGACATTGTTGCAGTCACATCTCATTGAGGAAGCAAATGGGTGTCAAAGTGCAGCACCTGAGTGGCATTCACTGAGGAAAGAGAAGGTGACTGCTTCAAATTTTAGGGAGGTTAGCCATGTTAGAGGTCCAAATGCTGCAGAAAACCTAGCTGAGAGGATCATCCGAGGGACACGACAAACAACACACATGAAGAAGGGGACTGGATATGGAGACAGGTGCCTTAAAGGACTATGCAACTCTGAAAAACCTGAACTTGAGGAAATGTGGACTGGTAATTCATCCAGATGCACCTTGGCTGGGTGCGTCACCTGATGGGCTGGTATATGACCCGCTTGAGAGACCATCATTCGGCTTGGTGGAGATGAAATGTCCAAATGCACTAAGCTACATTGACTGCAGGTACCTCAGAGTTAATCATGGAACATATACATTAAAGGAAAGCCATGCTTATTATTGGCAAGTGCAGGGGCAGTTGCTTATGACAGGTATGGAATGGTGCGACTTTGTTGTCTGTGCCCATGATGACATGTTTGTGCAGCGCATTTACAGAGACACTTCTGTGTTAAGCTCCCTGAAACAGAGGTGTGATTTGTTTTTCTTTTTTACATATCTGCCAAAATACCTCTCTATGCACAAGTAACTAAAGAGTGCTTAGGAAATGAATTGATGCATGATTTTACAAACGTGTAATTTTATTTTGTAATGTCATCTGATTAAAATATTTGTTTTACAATTATATATTTTTTGACAATTTCATTTCAAATTTATGTACAGCGATTAAGGACTCTTCTAAGGTGAAAACCAAAATTATTATTTCAGGTCATTATACAGTAATAAAAAACATTTTTACTTCTAAAGCATTAGAAATTGCTTGCCCAGGCTTTAACTAAGGGCTCGTTTTGGTAGTTAACCAAAAGACAGGCTACTGTGTAAAGTTGATTGATGCTTCCTGTCAGTGAAAGTGGGATTACTGTACTGAATATCTTGTGCTCCTTCACCCATCGAATGAGTCGCTCAACATGGACTCTGAGTCTAGCAATAGACTGTGTTTTCCTGACCTCTGGCCCAGACAGTTGTGCTCTCTTTGACAGGAAGGAAGGGATATGGACCTTGCAGGGCACACAGTCTTCCACAAGGAAACCCTTATCCACCATTACAGCCATTGTTGGTTTTAGAAGAGACACAATACCAGACTGCTTAAGAATCTCCTTATCACTGATAGCTCCTTCATAGAGAGATGATACAAAGGTTATAGCGCCGTGAGGGGCCATCCCAATCAACCCTTTGAAAGTGCAGTGAGATTTGTAGTTGGAGAATACCTCGCTCTGAAGGAGAAGAGAGTTTGGTGTTTGGCACCGCAGTTCAGTACAATCCAAAATCACTTGTGTATCAGAGTAAGACTGAAAAACATCTGGCATGTGAGCTTTGACAGTCTGCTCATCCATCCAAATGCCCACAGCTCCAAGCACAGTGTAGAGAAAGTTAGCCCATGTGTTGATTATGCGGCTTACAGTTGATTGGTGAATTCTGAATCTGTGGGCCAAATCCTTCTGCACCAGACCCAATGACAGATATGTCATAAAAAGGAAAAACTCATCCATGGGTTGAAGAGACTGAAAAGAAGAAAAATATTTTATTTATTACTATTACACAAACACCATAACTGGCACAGAAAGTTTGATTGTAAAAGAAAAAAATATCTTAATCATAATAAATGTTTCAGAATACATGTACCGTTGCATTGGCAGTGTGAGGAACCTCATCTGTCTTGGCTGCAGTCCGTGCTCTTGTCACGCGCACAATCTTGCCTGTTGCTGACTCTATCTGCCTCCAAAAGGCCATTAAGTGGGCATGAGTTGCAAACCTGTGGGACATACAGCATTTAAGTAACACTTTATTTTAATGTGTTACTAAATGTACAGATTTTGCATGTTATTTATTATAGTGATAACTAAATATTAGACATAATTACATGCACCTAGCCCTACAGTAAGTACATCTAGTTCATTAATATTACTCAATACTTAAATTACACTAACAGGGACACCGTCAAATAAAGTGTTGTCAACCCATATTTTATTTGATGGTATGTTAAGTGCCCATAGACCATTTTAAGTTGCAGATTTATTAGCATCCTAGTTGTAATTCCCATTAATACAACAACATATTATGGGATAGAATACAATTCCTAATGCCAGAATTTACAGAATAATACACATATCGGTGTGTAACATATTCTGTCCTTTGGGACTTGCCAGGCAAGAGAGGGATTGGATGAGATTACTGTTGTTGGTCACTCCTGCAGGTGTGGTTAGGTGAAGGAAAATTAATGTGTGCTTACCTTGTGAAAAACCTAATGTCATCATCGGAGGCAGCAAACCGCTCCAAACAGAACCTGCTGCTGAGGGTTATCTCCTCAATTAGTTTTTGCAGCCTCGCTATTTCCGCGCTTTGATCTTCAGTGTGGTCCAGGAACAAATCCAGGGCAGCAGGCTCAGCACTGGAGCAGTAGTCGTGGTCCAAATATTCCACATCCATAGAGGGGGCTTCAGTAGGCAATGTGTCTATGTTTGGTCGCTCTACCCTTTCCCAAACTCCAGTCCGTGGGGCTGGAATACTGAAGTTGTTCCACTGAAAAAGCACCGGGACCGCTCCATTTTTCAGACGTCTGCGTCCGGTTGAAGTTTGCGGCTCGATCAGGTCTGTACTTTGGAAATGTCGGCTACACACTCTTGACTGGTATGTAACTGTAAAATGGTCTCGTCTATATTAACTAACCATCTCTTCTGTATTTCCTTGCCTTTAGGAAACGTGTGGAAACTGAGAAATGTGTTAAATTTTGCAGATGCTGTACACTGCGGCACACGGCAGTGGTGGCTAGAGGTGCTGTCCTCCCGTCTTTGAAACGATACTTTCATTCGTTTAGATGCCATTATATATATATAAATATGTTATTTTTATTTAAAATAAAGCAAAAAAAGCATAAACAAAATGAGAGGTTGCTGTTTTGTGACTAATGTTCCTTTAGTGTCAAAGAGTATAGAATCCCACATCAGTTCTCGGCATGTAGCAGCGCTCTACGATCGGCGGAAGTAATCAAGCATCCTTAAATTTCACCGGAAATACGTCATGCACCGCCGTGCATAGAGCCCATAGCAGCGTTGCTGATCAATGTTTCTACTATCGATACATATCCCCTTTTAACCCAGCGCATGAACGCGCAATTATCTCAGATAACCCAATCCAGCTATACGAATCATAACCGGCAGGAGTGTTCGAAGAACCTAATTAGCCGGATCATGATGAGCACGATGATATCTTGGATGTCTCGTTTGATCTCGGATGTTTTAAGCAACGTACGAAGAACGGGCCCCAGCTCTGTCATAGACTGCGTTTACACTTGGCATTAACATGCTATCACCGTGATCTGATCAAGCAGATCGGATCATTAGCCAATCAGGACATGGTGCGTTTATATTTGTTCACATTAAGCAGCCTCTGTATCTGGATAACCGATCGGATTTCTGTTTCCCACATAATATTTAAATCAGGTCTGTGGCACGACACCAGATTAATAGTAAAGATGATACAAATTAAACAACATCCCAAATGCTTTCACTCACACACTTTACTTTCATATGCAATCTCCATTAATTTGATCAAATTATATTTTTTGAAAGAAGGAATACTTCCAGAGTTGATCTTACAAAAATAACTGGGTTGATCATGTTAAACAAGTCACATATCATCGATCATCTGGGTTTAAGGTTGCGTGCAATGACTATATTGACAGAAATTGGAGATTGATAAACATGCTGAAACAATAAAAACATTCAACATTTAAAACATTAAAAAAATCCGATTCCGATTATTCCTCTGGCAAGGGCAGCTCTTCATTAAGATCTCATGACTGACTGTGAGTGGACAGGCGATCGCCTCGTTCAGATAATGTTGCACAATTAAAATGAAAAATGACACACATAAATGAACTGTTTTAAAGATTGATGTTTATTGTTCAGATAAGTTTAATTTTGTGTCTAAACTGTGTCTGGCCATTACTTTCTGACAGTCACACGGGGAGACTGGGCGGGGATTTAAATTACGTTCACCTGTGAATGCAGACACGATGGCTGGATTGCGTTTACATTACACTGAGATCCGATCACAATGCGTCCTCGACTACCTCCGAACCGGGACACGCTGATCGGATAACATTCGGATCAGATGTGCGTTTACACTTGTCTTTTCAATGTGCATGTGGACAACATCCAGATACAGGTCGCATGTTAATGCCAAGTGTAAACGCAGCCATAGGCTCATTGAATGCATTGTTTGTGTGTGTGTGTGTGTATGAGTGTGAGTTTTTGCCATGATGAGAATGTTGTACAGGATCAGCCCTTCATTTGTGTGTATGTTAGATATGCATTGTATTGGATCTATTAATTTATTTTTTACAAAAAAACAAGAAGAATGCTCTAAATTACAGTTTTCCCATTCATTTCTATGGGTGCCCATTTTTGACCCAAATACAAGATTAAGGAGTTTTTTTTTTCACCCACTTAACATTGTAGAATTGAGTCAAAAAATGTTTTGTGTGTTCAGGAGGCAAACTTAGGAAAAGTAGCCAAGTCTTGTACCGCTCGGATCAAGGGAAGTATTTTTTAAAAATAAATCAAAACTGTTTTGCCCACATTTGTCCAGAATACGGTTTTAATTAATGTAGTTTTTAATAAAGTAGTTGGCCCAAAGGAATTAACTCGTTAGCAACAGGTTACATGCTTATTCATACCACGGTAATATATATTTTGAATAAGCATGGAACCTGTTGGTAACGAGAACTGTGTGTGTATATACAGGTCCTTCTCCAAAAATTAGCATATTGTGATAAAGTTCATTATTTTCCATAATGTAATGATAAAAATTAAACTTTCATACATTTTAGATTCATTGCACACCAACTGAAATATTTCAGGTCTTTCTTTGTTTTAATACTGATGATTTTGGCATACAGCTCATGAAAACCCAAAATTCCTGTCTCAAAAAATTAGCATATTTCATCCGACCAATAAAAGACATTCAATACACATGGTACGAACTATGAAGGGTGGCCTTATGAAAAAAGAAAACGCCCCCCCCCCAAAAAATAAAAAATAAATAAGTGTGCCATGTAATAAGTGAGTAGGAACGAGTGAGAGCTAACAGATAAAATAAGTGCAAAATTGTCATTTATTAATACAATTAAACTATACGTACTCCACCGTGATGAACCCCTCTAAAAAAACTATAAGCTCCATTGGAACAGCAATACCAGTGTTTCTCACAGGATTTTAGGTAAAACTGTGGTAGGTGGACCTCTGTTCCTCTAGGGGGGTTCGGGGGCATGCCCCCTGTAAGAAAATGTTGTGTTCTTTAATGTTAAATTCATCAGTCTGGTGCACTTTGAGAGTTCAAAATTAAAAGCTCCAACCCATATTCAGGGTGCAAATTAAACAAAGAAAAATTCAAACCTCTTTTAGTTAGTGTCTGTCTACATTACACTACTACATAATAATAGTTATAATATTAATCCCATGATAGTAATAGCCATATATTGTAAAACAAATGCACTGAAAAATAAAGGAAACTTTCATAATTAGTTTTGTACTAATTTCTATAAAGATATAAGCACATGATGACATGTTTCATGGGCCGGTGTGTCAGAAAAAAATAAATAACGCTGACTTTTTTTGACCAATGCATTACACCGGCACTAATCCAGCGCCGCCAATTAAGCAAAAAAAAAAAAAAAACGAATGGGCCGCCGATGTACGAGTTTTATGGGCCGTTAAGACAAAAAAAAAAAAGTATGAGATGTATCGGCCGAAAAAGCACGTCGGTCCACCGGGAATCTCCCGGTAGTCCCGATGGCCACAGAGATATAGCTAGATAGCCTACATGCCTGGATGTCACACTTTAAATCCGACCTGTTGGCTTTCAGCATGCACTTATTTAGCTGCTGTCGCATCAAATGACATGCCATCTCCTTTTCCCTCTTTCTTTTTCTATTTTTAGCTCCCCAGCATTTTGTTTTATCCATCTTTTTCGACGACAACTCACTACTTGTACCTGCTCGCTCAGCGCTCAAGGCGCCCCCGCCCGCTCGCGAAATTACCCCACCCCCCTTCTCCATGAGGGCGCCTACTCTAGCCTGTTAGTCCTCTAACATGATTTTATATAACATTTAAGAAATGCAGAAATGATTTAGAAACGCACAACAGCAGCTACATATAGAAAATACAATATATATATATATTAGTGCTGGGCAACGATTACAATTTTTAATCGCGATTAATCGCATGATTTTCTTGCGATTAATCGCATTGTTACGCGCAAACTTTAATAATGAATTCTAAAGTAGTGTATTACTCACTTTTGATTTAAATGTGCTATATACACAAAAGTGTAATAACATGTGGTTTGCAAAAACTTTAAATAAATAAGGTGCTTTATACCAGCAGTATTCCCTTTACACAGCAATAAAATATTTATTGTAAATCTCAACTTAAACATTAATGTAATCAAATCAAATATTAAAACAAAGCTATTTGCCACTGCCAGGGCTTTACCTTTTATCTAGCTTGTTAAAACAAGTCCAGTTTTCTTGGTTTTTTATCTTAACAGGTATCAACAGGTGTCTTTTAGCAGCAGAAACAGTCTGTAGTCAGAGGTCATGAGATATACGTCGACCAACGTTACTTCTCTGATAGTAGCTTAGGTTTGGTCATGCCATGGTTTCCCACGTACACTAAGATTGCATTAAACAGAGGTAAAGCCCAATTTATACTTCTGCGTCGAACTTACGTCGTACGTGCAGCTCTCCAAAAATGTAACAACGCGTCAATTCTACGCGCACCGCAAGCGCTGTGATTGCTAGAACCGCTCCACGGGTTTCACATGCTCCCTCTGCATGTGTAATTGCGCGTCAACGCGGACAACGACGCAGAAGTAAAACCAACCAATGCGTAGTGTATAGCGTAAGTCCGACACAGAAGTGTAAATCAGCCTTTTAGAGTGAGGTGAATTGGTCGAGCACAAGGTGCATGCAGCGACAAGCGGGTGCGTTCTGTGAAACTGTTGCGGTCGCGCTCGCCTCACGCACGCGCCCGCGCCCGCCCGTTGCCGAAGTTGAATTGTCTAAAAGGACTTTGATTGTCTATAACTTTTTGTACACGACGCGCAGTACAAATCATTGGAAGAGAGACTGATCCTCGGCTCGCTGTTTGTGAGTTTCCAATATTTAAATAGTTTTCAGGACATCAACAGAAGGGAATTCACATTGCAGAGCATCCCCGCTAAACTACACGCAGGCACATCAGGTAAAGTTATGTATAATTTTAATTTAATTTAAAAAGACTACAGCTGCGTAGCGCACAGAAGCCGTTGCCATGGTTACTATCCATAGAGCGCCTGTCATTCACTCGCGGAGCGCTGTCTCCCTTTCTGTTCACCTGAGAGAACCTGCCAAAGCTCCTCCACTACTGGTTTGGGTGGGTTATTTGCTGGCTGACCAACATCCCACCCCTCCTGTGATCCATGGTTTGACTGTAGGCCTATGTCCTATTCAGACCCAGTGTGCAACGGACTTAAAAAAAAAAAAAAAAACTGCGTTAACGTGCGATAAAAAAATTGTCGGCATTAATTAATAAATGCGTTAACGCGATAATAACGCGTTAACTTGCCCAGCCCTAATATATATATATATATATATATATATATATATATTTAAAATTAATTAATTAATTAATTTATTTTTACCATCGCTTTGGCGCCCCCCCTGGTGCTGCGCCCCTATGCGCCGCATATAGCGCACACCCACTTTTTGCGCCACTGGGTTCGCGGTTGCTGCGGTTACTTGCATTCCTCTGCGGTTGGCCTGTCAGTAGCGCTGTATTGCAATATTGCGGTTATCGTGACAGCCCTATACAAGTACATTGGTAATAATTATATGCTTAATTACAATTTTAAGAAATATGCTATAGAAAAGCATACTTTTAATACATTTCTAAAAGGTATATTAGCAATATATTGGTAATAAATGTATACTTAATTACATTTAAAATAAATATGCTAATGACAATCATACTTTAAATATGTTTCTAAAAAGTGTACTAGAACTACATTGTCAATAAATATATACTAAATTACACTTAAGAAATATGCTAACAACGAACATAGTTGTAGTGAAGTTTTAGTGCATTTACAGGAAACATGCTTGTGTTAAAAAATTAAAGTATTTTTTTATGTTTACTTTGTGTGTATAGCAAAACGATTAATATTTTTGTTTGTTACACATAACTTATTTATAACCTTGTATAGGACTCCTGCAATATATTTTTTATATTTATGTAACAGCATGCGTTTCAGCCCTGCTTTAAAAAATGTTGTGAAAAACAAATAAGACATTATATATATATATATATATATATATATATATATATATATATTAGGGCTGTCAGTTAAACGCGTTAACGGCGTTAACGCAAACCCATTTTAACGGCGTTAATTTTTTATCGCGCGATTAACCCTTTATAGGGCACTCATTGAAATACTTGGAAATTCTAAATTTCAACCATAGAGTGTTATTGGAGGATATTATAAGACTTCTAAACATTTGTGAGTTTTTTAAAAAATATTTTTTTTAGGTTGGAAATCAAGGGCAATGAAGTTACCATATATGGTTCCTCGCCAGTCTAGGGTAATTTTTTTTCCTTAAAAAGTGTATATATAAAAATATAATAAAAACACATAAACTTGTTGCAAACATCAAAATATTTATTTAGGAACATTTTAAATTATTATTAGGAACATTTTAAATTAAATTACACCTCTTGGCAGAGGGGCCTATATCACTCTGGCCTGGAGTGTCTAGGTTGTGTAGTCAGGGTCTGCCACATCATCATCTTCCTCCTCAGAGCCCTCATCATCACTGATGCTGGGGTGGGCTGGCACAACTGTCTCCCTCTTGCCGTAAAAGAATCGCGTAGATAGCTGCAAAGAACAGAGAGTACATTTTTGAGTCAATATCAAGCCCAGTTTGAGTTATTTGTTGAGTAACAGTGAAGTGCAGATCTACTGAAATATAAATAATAAGAAAAATAAGTGAGTAACATTGGACTGGTCTGTCATAATATATGTAAATATATAATAAGAAGTGCAAAATATCATTATAAGTATTAAAAAGTGTTATAAAGGTCATAAAACTGACCAAAACCACACATATTTCAATATCTAATATGGCTTGAAAATGTCTATAAATGTGTTACGTTTCCCACTGGATCACTTTATAATGTTATTCAAACCTGTGATAACATCCAATGCACTAGTAAATACTATTGTCCTACATTATAATCATAGACTCTGGTTATAATGCATTATTTGTAGAAAAAATACCCTAGTACGTCTTTTCTATACGCATAGGGCGTATGTCTAAATATGGTCTTCCTATCACTTGCGCTAATCTTACGTGAACAGGGCGTATGATCAAATATGGTCTCACCATTTTTCATGCCACAAATGTCGCTACTTTCAAGAAATCTATGCAAGCAACACCTATCTCAACATGTTGCACAACTATTCAACCATAGAATGTGTGAGTTTCATCAACTTACCATTTTTTGTTTT